GGGAATTGTGGGGGGCGGCAGGCAGGAGAGCCGACAGAGTGCGCGACAGGAAATATGTCTGCAAAACATTGAGCTGCTGCAAAAAGCATAGAACAGTCTCACACCTATAACCACGAATGTTCTGCTTGCCCCTTATATGGAATCTTGTTCCGAGAAGTATGTCTGCACCTGTGAACAACAAAGATTCTGAGAACCCAGTAGATATATGAGAGACTGCGTAATGGAAATATACCAGCTTGACTTTTATTCTTTTGCTTGTGTGCTACAATGTAACAAGGAAGTAACCCAGAATAATGCAAGTATATAAGACTGCGTAAAGCTTTACCACCCAGAACACGCTGAGCTGACACACTGGGGGTGTGTAGGCAGTCTGTTCCCGAGCCGGCTCGCATTAAAGCAATAAGAGGCATTAACAATAGAATACATAACTAAATAAAAAAATCATTTATAATCAAACTGAGAGTCTCCTTTGCGTGTTCCCTTCTCATCCGGACCCGGTGGAGCGGCGTACTCCAACACATGGGGCTGGCTGAACTTTTGGTGACCAGCATAAATAATCAACAATATCTCATAAACTACAACAGATAGGACAACGATTTTTGCACTAATGAGCACAAACACGGCACTTACGAACCACCCCGGTTTCACGTCCGAACGCCTTTGTAGGGGAGCTGGTTGAACTTTTGACCTTTACAAATAACCTTTAATATCTCAAAAACTATAACAGATAGGACAGCGATTTTTGCAGCACAAACGAGCACAAAAGCAGCACTAATGAACCAGCCTGGTTTCACGTCCGAACTCCTTTGTAGGGGGGCTGGTTGAACTTTTGATCTTTACAAAAAGCCTTTAATATCTCAAAAAGTAAAAGAGATAGGACAGCGATTTTTGCAGCACAAATGAGCACAAACACAGCACTAATGAACCAGCCCAGTTTCACGTTCCGAACGCCTTTGTAGGGGGGCTGGGTTACGTAATCATCTGGAAAAATTAATAGCTATTATCTTTAAAACAAAAGTGGCACAAATCTTAATTTTTGCGGCACAAAAGGGCACAAACATAGCACTAACCAAATACGATGGAATTTTTATTTGTGCCAATTGTAGACGGGCCAGCTTCACACAGCTGCTAGAGTGCCCTTCATTCAAAGAGGATGAGAGCCAGAGGGGATTTTTAAGTTACAGTTGAAATATTATTCATTGGTAAAATACTTACTGATAAGTGCCGTAGGCAGGCAAAAAGAAAAAAAAATAAGCCGAGTATCTACTTGCACGTGGGTGCAAATAGCATTTGCCTATATATTAGACTATTTACACCTGGCCTCCTCAGTCCCTGCCCCCTGACTATAGAAAAAACATAAACACATGTGTTTCTTGCATGGTTACATGCCACTTGAAATTATTAAAAAGTATCGATATCTGTATCTTATCGGCAATACTTGACCTATATTTACTTGCTATCGGATCAATACCAAATCTTGTAGTATCGCACACCACTAATGTATACAGCAAACAGCGCACGCTCTGACGTTAAACAAAGTGGACAACGGCACACAATCTGACATTTCGAGCCAAAAACTCTGTTTTCCCTGTCTACATGTCGATGCTGAAGATGGAGTTTCTTAAAATCTTCACCCTGGATGGAGTTTTACAAAAGCTCCGTTTTCAGTGGCCTAAGACGCCATTTACGTGTGGACAAAAGCCCAAGACGTATAGAAAAAGGTATGTTTTAAAAAATACCTGTGTACATGTGGACAAGGCATGGGAACCCTGACAGCCAAGAGACAGCTCCTGGGCTGTCAGAATTTTCCAGAATACCTAAGACTTCCTTTCAAGCTTTTATACAGGTTTTCACTCCTGAGGGATTTCCCTAGTTAATTTGTAGTTTTTCAATTATGTTCATTTAGTTCACTCATTTATAGCTTTCATATTTCTTATTTTTATATTTCTTTCTGTCATACAACTTGCCTGTCATACAACTCTTTCCAAGGCCATCTGACCCCCTGGCTCCAGGCGTCTGGCCGAAGACCATAGATAAAGGGCATGAAACATATTTCTGTAACATCTTCATTCTGTCTTAATAAACTACTTAAGCTTAAGAAACCTGCCTCATCATTCAACTCTAAAACAACCTGAGGTTTCACTCCAAACTGGATGAAACAACATATCTGTGTTTATTAACAGCAAATGTTTATTCAGCAAACTGTTAGGCAGACAAATGAGTCCGCATGTTAATCAGCCATACCTCACTTACCATCATCTGTCTGGTAGGCTGCCTGGGTCAGCATCTTATCCTGTGTCTAAGCTGCCATCTTGTGGCAGCCTCTTACCATGACAACACCAGCTGACCATATCTGTTGGCTCAGGCTCCTCAGGACAGAAGCAATATCTGGCAGTATGGGAGCCCATGTACTTGAGTAAAAAATAACATGTTGCCCTTAGGACTGTAGCCCCGACTCATTACTGTATGTCTTTCAAGAGTAATACATCTTAGGAGAAACCCTCACTCCTTCACAACCTTCACACTCTGGTGCTCAGCAAAAGGCAGCTCTGCTAAGGTAAGACTTCACCTTAGCAGAGCCGTATTAGAGTAAAGTAAACACAGTGGGGCAAAGGGAAGATGAAGCCCAACCCCCAGGAATATACTGAGGTCATGCTGATTGCTTTTGCAAACTCTTCACTGAATTCCTCTGATTACAAATTTTATGCAGTCCAGATGTACAATTAAGAGACAGATGAAACCGGACTAAATCTACAGTAATGATGGAATATTTTCCTCATGCTTTATGGCTCAATCCTTGTGAATTTATTTTCATAAAATATCTTCCAAGAATTAAAAAATGTACAATCAAAAGAACTTCTTTATGTAACAGGCACATATGAAGTGAAAGTGGGACATTAATCTTTTGTATATTTTCTTTTAACAAACAACATCACTGCTAACTCTACCTATTCCTCACATCACCTTTCCTATTGGGTCTGACACTTAAAATAGTATGGATTGTATTCGCTGAAAATAAGATATTTTAGAATATTAACTATCACAGTTAAACTACTGGTATAATTCATATAAATGATGTAATTTACGTGTTCTCTGTTTGTTCAAAAATAGAAGATGCAAAGTTGCAATGCAAAATTGAAGAACAGAGGCAGAGTGGGGGTACATTTTCCAAAAGCATAGTTGAAATATCATAATTACACATTTGGAAGCATGCAACTGTTTACAACTGAATGAACAGTGAACAGTTCGCTGGTGGGAGCTATTTTTTTTTTTAGCAGAAGCACATAAATGTTTAAATAAATAATCAAGCAAAGTAGTATCTGTTGTTGCTTATTAGTGTTAATTTGCTTTATGAACTGTTGTATAAAAGCAATTACATACTCAAGGTAGTTTGGTTGTAGTGCAATATATCACGGCTGTGATTATCTTTGTCACTAGGCCTGCAGCCTCGTGCCCACGACCATATCACAGCTGTGATATATTGGAGTACAACTGCACTACCTTGAGTATGTTATTGCGTAAATATGTTCATTATCACTCTTTTGCTTATCATTTTAATATAATCATTTTTGCAGTGTATAGAATCCTATGATAACTTTATCAGTTTTGATAATTAAAATGTCATGCATTTTGTATATTTTCCAAACATGACATGTTTTTTTTAAATGGTAGTTGGAATCATCTAATTTGTGTTTGTCCCACAACAAAACAATCACTGAAATAAAGAGAGCAAATGAGAGTGTAGCAGGATGGTTAATGTATGCTTTGATGTTGTGTTGCATTATGGGTAGCACACTGGCACCGTGGTTAATTCTGTTGCCTCCCACCTCAGGGCTTGAGTCTCCACCTTGTTCTTATTTTATCATCATGGGTTTTTTTTTCCCTAGTTTCCTTCTTAGTCTCCAACCATGTTTAGGTGAATTAGAGCAGCCCAAATTTCCCATAGAGGTGAATGGTGTCTGTGTCCTGTTAAGGGGTGGGGCCTTGGCCTGGGTTTTTCTGGCATGGATGCTTTGTGTTATTGTGTGTGTCTATGGCAATTATTGATATCTGTGTAAGAATGTAATCATTTATACAGTCATTATGAATTTTACAACCTGCTACATTAATGAGCCCATAGCACATAAGACTTTTTATTGACTCCTCACTAAGGTTCAATGCATGTAGTAGGAACACAACACTCTACACACCTGTGTAATAATTTGTAGTTTTCTGTATGTTATTAAATGTTTTTATCAACAGTTGTGGAGGGTATCTTGTGTATCCAAAGGAGACCCATGCAAATGGCAGGAGAACATTCAAGCTTCACAAATTCAGAACTTGGGGCCGGAGCTAAACCCACAACCCTGGAATCATGAAGCTCTAAATGTTTATCGTCTATTAAACTAAAACACACCAAGGAAAGCAGTGAGCACTGTGAGGCCTGAAATGCAGTTAGCAATTATCTGTTTCAGGATCAGCACAAATGAAAGTTTATATTATGCAGATGCAGAAGGATAGAAAATCACTTGTATGATCATGAATTCACTAGAAAGCAAACGTTTCTTTGCGTTATGTGCAAATCAACGCATATTGGCCTGCTTTGGTCTTCAGATCCCTCTGCGATTCCAGACACACTGAGGATTCGTCTCTTCCAAATTCACAGACTCCTGAAAAGGGAAAACACACAGATACACCATTCTGTTACCTCTCGTGTAAACTGATTGCTTATTACATAATGTAGACATTTGCTGTATGACTCTTTGCTGTATGACTCTTTGCTGTATGACTCTTTTGACAAAAGCATCTGCTAAATGAAGGAAATATGATGTATTATGTTACACAAACTGCTCACAGTGCAATAATAATTACAACATTGAAGATGTATTTACTCAGAAGTGAAGATGTATTTACTTATACCTTCAATAAGTAAATGTTGCAAACCCGTTACCTTGTCATTTATGCTCTTTAGTCCTTTAGATGGAAGATTTGGCCATCAGGTTGAGTCCTCCAGGATAGTGTGGTGCCTTCTGACATGCCTGCGCTGATCAGTTTCTCCTTTAACTAGATAATAACACAACAGAATATCTCCTTGTGCCTCCATTGGCAATTTGTGTCTTTGTCTGTGTAGCTCCACAAGAGAACTGAACTGACCTGCATTAACAGAAGGCTGCTGAATGCAGGATCCTTTACTTTTCCATCAGTTCTGACAGTCAGTCTCACCACTGTTCTCTTTCCTGTGGGAACTGAGCAACAGAAGAAGTCAGCACACTTGGACACATCCAGTTCCACCCAGATTTGTAATCAAATTACAAATAGTAATTTCTAAATACATGCATTCATTTAAACATTAGTCACTAGCAAAATGTACTGTATCAATTATTTTCAAAAAGTTAAACCATGCAGATACACATGTTCATAGAGATATCTGGTGCCTTAATATTTGCTTACCTAAACCTGAAACATTACTAAACATTTTTTCTCTATTTCTGAATGCCAATTTTGTGTATCTGAGCTTTTTTGCTTAAAATGTGGAAAGAAGAACATTCCCTGTATCCCTCATCATCACTCTCTTCTGCTATCACCTTTTTAAAAACAGTTTGTAGTTCTTTAAATCTAAATATAATCAAACCACTCTATATAACACATATCACAATTATCATGATCTGTTACACCCTGATATGGGTTTATACCTCGCAGGTACACAGAGCTTTCAGGATAGGGTTTGTACCCCTGCACACCAGCACAGAACAACCATGTATAGAAAAAGATGAATGGATAAATTTTCACCTTACAAATCGATTTTTAGAAAATTAGATTATTAAATAAGAGATCAGTGTTGACACACCGCACAACAACAAAACGTGTTCTCTGCATTCAACCTATATGCAATGTCATGACACAGCAGGGGGCAGCTAACTCAGCGGACAGAGGTAGTACCTTTCTCAGGGTACCTCAATTTGTTTTCTAAAACAAATTAGATTCAAGATTCTTTAATTGTCACATGCGTAGTCATACAGATACAACATGCAGTGAAATGAGATTCCTACATATAGAAAGATGCACATTATTATTATTTGGAAATCACTCTATATGCCACATCATTAACAAACAAAATGCAGTCACATTTTGAATTTGGAAAAAAGAGTTTGTTATGAGAAGGGTAGAGGGAATGAAATGCACAAGCAAAACAAAGAGAAGACAAAACGAGTTTCTGATGCAACTCTGTAGTTTTAAATGTACTTATTCTGCAGGTACTGTGTTTGTGAATCAGCCTTACTTGGATATTTAGAGCAGATGAAGTTGAGCTCCTTAGTCTCAGGCAGGCTGACCCAGTATTGTGGGTCTTTAGATTGTAATGCCCCTGTGGTTCCACACAAGTTACTGTTGGATATGTTGTTTGGGGCCCAGTTCTGGTAGCAGACATTTTCTGCACTGACCCAGAACCAGAAGTTCAGGTAGCAGGAGAAGCGCAGCCCCAGCCAGACATGATCAGTGGAGGCCTTCTCAGCCATCCTACTGACCCAGTACTGGATCTCCTCATTGTGGACAGACACCAGGTCCGAATGGTACGTTCTGCAGTAATTCAGGGCTTCATTCCAGGTCATGTTACTATTTACCAAGATCAGGTTATCTGGGGCAGAAGGTAAGATGATTGTCAGAAAGCGGGTTCAGGAGAAAGTCATGTGACATTTGGAAACTTGGAGAAAGAAATTTATTACCAGAAGGGTAAAGGGAGTGAAATTCACAAAACGATGAAGACAAAATAACTTTCTCATGCAACTGTACAGTGTTATGTGTACTTATAACACTAAATATAACTATAAGTGTATAGTATATTTTTAAAATAGCATAAAGTTGATAAATGAGAGAATCGCCCACTGCTCATAGTAAAGTTACATTACTCACCATCATAGCATATGAATGGATGCTTTTCATCACATGGTGTCATATCCCATGTCCCAGGCCAGGTGACCTGTGCTAAAGCACATGTGTTATTCTCATTATCATTTTGACCAATTTTCCAGTTACGGAATGAGGAGTTTGACAGGTCTGACCATTCCCATGTGTCATGGAACTGGCCAATCCATGTTTGAGTGCAATTTGTAACCATTTTATGTATCAAGTCATTATCTTCTTGATTCCTCACAGTGGCCAGATCTGTGTAATTGTATCTGCAGTAGTTCTGAGCACTGGACCAATTCATATGTTGGTCAATCAAGGTGAAGTTCCAAGTAGCATTTATTCCATCTTTATAGGTGGGAGCTGTGAATTTGTTATAAACAGCATAAGAAACAACAATAACCCAGATGTCATTTACATGTAACCTATTTAGCAGATGGTTTTATCCAAAGTTACATAAATTTTTTGAAAGAGTAGGATCAGACAGTCCCTGGATTAATTGGAGATTTAGGGCCTGGTTCAGGGGCCCAGTGGTGAAATCATTCTGCCATCATTCTGGGAGCTGAAACAGTGACCTTCTGATCACAGGTACAGTGTCCAAACCCACTGAGTCACACACTGTCCTTTGCTGAACAAATCTCACTCTGACATTCAATTGAAAAGTTAAAACTCTATGATTAATGTTTTTAATATAAAACCTAAAAATTCATGTGACAATATTGATTCTTATGCTGACACCATGCTTACTCTATTAAATACACATCAACTTTGATTTTCCTTGATTCTAAAATGGGGGACTGGCTTTGGCATTTATAAATTATAGTTAGTCAGGTGACACTCCTGGTTGATCAGTCTTTCTTTTATTCCCCTAAAATCTATAAGCGATTCTGCATTTACTTGTTTCGCTGCCTTGTGGGGATATCTGCAGAGCAAAGCCATTGACAATCAACCTTCGCCATAATCTGTATGCAATGCCTTGAGTGGCTGCCTGCTACAGTACCTATGTGTTTCTTCATTTTTGTTACTATTGTAAGTTTGTTTTCTTGCATATTTTTAAATAAATCTGCGACTACCATGCCGTGGAACAACAATGTTTTCCTGCTTCTATAGCCATCTGCTGGTTTATTTCAGTCACAGACGGCACCTTTCACA